GGGAAGGGAAGGGAAGGGAAGGGAAGGGAAGGGAAGGGAAGGGAAGGAAGAAAGGAAGGAAGGAAAGGAAAGGAAAGGAAAGGAAAGGAAAGGAAAGGAAACTAAAGAAGGAAGGAAAGGAAAGGAATTTGTGAGGAAGGAAGGAAGGAAGGAAGGAAGGAAGGAAGGAAGGAAGGAAGGAAAGGAAGGAAAGGAAAGGAAAGAAGGAAGGAAAGGAAAGGAATTTGTGAGGAAGGAAGGAAGGAGGAAGGAAGGAAGGAAGGAAAAGGAAATTGTGAGGAAGCAAGGAAGGAAGGAAAGAAGGAAGGAAAAAGAGAGAGAGAGAGAAAGAGAAAGGAAGGAAGGAGAGGGAAGGAAAGGCCTAACCTTTTCGTCTGTTCCTGCTTTTCCTCTTCCGTCAGGGGACGCTGCGTCTCTCCTTCGGCCAGCTCACCTATGGGAAGAAAAACGTTCTCTTGCACCTTTCCAAGGGACCAGGGCAGATGAAAACCATAATCCACTGGCAATTCATGCTCAAGTGATGTGCAACTCTCTACAGGCAGTCCTCAACTTGCGACCACCATTCAGGCCAAGATTTCTGTGGCTAAGCGAGACATTTACCCAGGGGAGTTCGCTGCATTTCACAACTTTCCTGGCCCCATCCTTAAGCGAACCACTGCCGTCGTTAGATTAGGAGCACGGCCGTTAAGCGAATCCAGCTTCCTCCTTGGACTTCCCCGTCGCAAAAGGGGAGCACGTGAACTCCCCCCCACGCACACACACACACAGCCACCGTCATAAATGTGAGTCCAGCTGCCGAGCGTCCGAATTTGGGATCACGCAACCGCAGGGAATGCGCAGAAAACGGTCCCAGGTCAACGTTGCTCGGCGCCGTGGCGACTCGCGGAACGGTCACAAAACGGACCGTCGTTAAGTCGAGGACCCCCCCCTGCGCGGAGCCAGCAAAGAAAAGCCACACACCCACACACACTCCCGCCCCTTGCCAGGATCTCTTCTGACCTGACCCCCCTTGCGCCGAATCCGGCGTCGTTCCTTTGGCGGGTTCCTCGGCGTCTGGAACGGGGCCTTGGGGGGCTGCGAAGGGCTCGTCCAGGTTGGGATCGTTCTCATGTTCAACCAACCTGGGTTGAGGGGGGGGGGGGGGGGAGAGAGAGAGAGAGAGAGAGAGACGCCGAGGAGGGCCGTTCAGAAGGGACGCCGAACGGAGGAGGGAGGGCGTTCTGCTAAGAACGGGGAGGGACGGAGGGCATACCTACCAATCCATAGCCTGTTCGATCCCCTGGTTGCCTGTCAGCGCCAAGGCCTTCTCTCTGGAGGGGGGGCGGGAAGCAGAGCATGGCATTCAACACAGCAAACACCCCCCACTCCCCCCGGTGTGGAAAGCCAAGGGGTTTTTTCGCCCCCGTTTTTCAGGCCCTCCCCCCAAATAATGACGGTTCTACCGCTCTGAGGCCTCCCGCAGTGGAGTTTAGAAGGCAGAAGAGGCGGCTATTGGTGGCTCAGAGTTGAACTGTGGGCTCCTTGGGGGTCTCGGAGGTTGGTTGGTTTTCTTGCAGATGTTTCATGACCCAACTAGGGAATGTCATCAGTGCTAGAAAGGAGTGGGGTTTGCAGGGAGGGAGGGAGGGAGGGAGGGAGGGAGGGAGGAAGGAAGGAAGGAAGGAAGGAGGGAGGGAGGGAGAAAGGGAGGGAGAAAGGGAGGGAGAGAGGGAAGAAGGAAGGAAGGGAGAGTGGAGGGAGGAAGGAGGGGAGGGAGGGAGGGAGGGAGGAAGGAAGGAAGGAAGGAAGGAAGGAAAGAGAGGAGGTAGGGAGGGAGGGAGGAAGGAAGGAAGGAAGGAAGGAAGGAAGGGAGGGAGGGAGGGAGGGAGGGAGGGAGGGAGGGAGGGAAGAAGGAAGGAAGGAAGGGGTCTGTGGTGCTCTCTGAGCTTGTTTTCTTGGAGACGTTTCATGACCCAACTAGGGAACATCATCAGTGCTGAAAGGGAGGGTGGAGGTTTACTTTTTATTTATACACAAATAGCTTGCCTTTAATAGTGTTAGTTTACAACTCAGTGCAACTCAAGGAAGCACCAAGGACACCCTTGTCAACACTGACACTGTACAAGCCACTGTATATCAGCAGGGAGCAAACCGCTCTCCCTCTAGCACTGATGGTGCTACCTAGTTGGGTCATGAAACCTCTGCAAAAAAACCACCAAGCTCAGACAGCCCCAAGGACCCCACAGTCATCCTCCTGCTCTTCCTCCTCCCCATCCCCTTCGTCTTCCTCCTCCTCCTCCCCCTCCTCCCAGAAACCCCCTCACTTCTAGCACTGATGATGTTACCTAGTTGGGTCATGAAACGTCTGCAAAACAACCCACCAAGCTCAGAGAGCACCAAGGAGCCCACAGTTCTGTTTTTTTCCATGTTTTCTCCACATCCAGCTGCCTCACAGCCCAGAAAAGCTTCAGTAAAAAAAAAAGAAAGAAAGCACTTTCCCACGCTACAGGTGTGCCTTTGCATAACCTGTAAGGTGAAGCCTCCTCCCCCACCTATCCCACGCTTTGCCGGGATGGAGACCTACGCTCGGTTCTGCGGGAAGCCCATCTCAATTAAACTTTCCAGTGCCGTGTTCTCCATCATCCTGCCTTTACCACCGTCACTGCCAGCAAATTCTGCAAAATAAAACAAGATATTACGCCTTTGGCACACCGCTGGGATTGTATTTCGGTGGGAAACGTGTGTGTTGGAAAATGGGGGTTTGTCTTTTCATTAATTGATTAGTCCTTGGGCCATATCAAAGGGCAGAGTTTTCCAGAAACAAATGTATCATCCATCTATCTATCACTCTATCACTCTATCTATCACTCTATCAATCTTTCTATCACTCTATCTCTCTATCATTCTATATATCAATCACTCTATCAATCACTCTATCAATCACTCTATCACTCTATCTATCTATCTATCTATCTATCTATCTAATCTATCTAATCTATTTAATCTATTTATCTATCATCTATCTGCAAAAGGCCACTCACGCATTATCACACAATTTCCGGAACCGTAAAGTCCACAAACTTGAAATCTGGCACATATGTTCCTCTTGGCTTCTAGGTGCTAAGAAAGGGTTTTTTTGAAATGTCCATCACACCATTAGTATTTCACATATTATTATTAACACGCTCTGATGCTAAGGAGTTCTACTCCCCCTCCCCACCTGGAAAGAAATCTCTTCCCAATGCAAAACACAAGCAGAGGAGTTTCAGTTTTAGTTTCACAGCCCCAAGCAGCTTTAGTACAGAACAGTTGAGCTAAGCCACGCCCAGGCTCCTTGCTGTCCCCTTCTTGCTCACACAGCAAAAACTGTTTGAGTTTCCAAACGGCCCTCACCTCTCACACACACACACTGACTGGATGCTAACCAGATGAACACCGATGGATGCTGGTAGGCGGAGACACAAATTTTCCCTCCCTTATTTCCCTCCACAAAAACTAAGCCCTACTTTCGTAGCGAAGCACGGGTATCGAGCTAGGTATTATTAAAATTGGATAAAAGCAGTTTAAAATGGAATGGGATAAAATAAAATTTAAAATTTGTCCTCATCTCAGGTCTTCTTCTTAAAAAAGATTCTGTCCTCACATTTGTTAAGATTCTTTTATCTGAGGCTCAAAAATATTAGATTCAAAACTTCAATTCTTTCATTGCAAAGTTTCTTTGTGGTTGTTCAATATAAGTTCCTGGCCTGAAGATGCCGATGTTAGAAGACAAGGATTAAATCCTAGAAGGAAAAATGTGGAGTTACCGATTCCTGATTCCACCATAAACTAGCTCTATACCCGTGATTTGCTATGAAAGTATGTGGTGGGGCTTAGTTTAAGGAGAAATAAGGGGGAAAAATTCTGCCTCTGCCTACCAGCATTCATCAGTATTCATCTGGCTAGTGTCCTGACAGTGTGTGAGAGTTGAGGGCTGTTTGGAAACTGAAAGAGTTTTTGCTGTGTGAGCAAGAAAGGGACAGCAAGGAGCCTGGGCGTGGCTTAGCTCAACTGTTCTGTACTAAAGCTGCTTGGGGCTGCTGTGAAACTGAAACTCCTCTGCTTGTGTTTTGCATTTGGAAGAGATTTCTTTTCAGGTGGGGAGGGGGAGTAGAACTCCTTAGCATCAGAGCGTGTTAATAAAAATAATAATAATATAGGAAATACTCTAAATGCTCTGATGGTCATTTGGGAAAATAATCCTTTCTTAGTGAGCACCTACAGGAACAAAAGGAAAGCCAAGAGGAACATACATGCCAAATTTCAAGTTTGTAGACTTTACAGTTCCGGAGATTTTGTGATGATGCATGAATGGCATTTTGCTTTTATATTTTATAGATTTATTGAAATTGAATTTATTGAAATTTATATGCCACCCCTGTCATTTATCCAAAAGGACTTTTTTTTCAGCAGGCATCAAGCAAAAAGCACCCTGCAAAATTCCTTTACAGCTTTGCTCTGATAATTTGTAGAGATCCCCCCCAAAATCCGAAAGGTTGGTGGATCTCTGTCTAAAACGGATCCTTCATTTGGGGAATGAAATTCATTCAAGGATGAATCTCAGAAAAAGCAACCGGGATTGTTAAAGAAAAATCTAAATTTAAATTTTGCTGAGGGGATATCCTGAAAAGTATTATTTCTCTCTCTTTCGGATCTGGAAAAACAAAGAATTGTACTTTTGATTATTATTAGGAGGGATTTTCATTATTAGGAAAAAATGTGATGTTTAGCGTTGGAATAGCTTTGATGCCATAGTTTAGTTCCTAGTGGAGGAAAGATGATTTTGGATTAATAGGATAAAATCTACTTATTTAGGTGGTTCGACGGTGCTCCTTAAATATTAATTCTATATAAAATATTAACGTCTCCCTAAATATAACCATTATCAAATATTTAGCCCTTTCTCTTGATCCGCCCATGCATGGACCCAAATACACACACATGCGCAGAGAACAAAAAAAGGGGGGGATTTCTATGGGGGGGGGCATTCCCTATAATGGAGCCCCGAACCAATCAATGGCTGGCTTGGCCGGGGAGGATGGGTCTTGTGATCCAACCCCATGGGAGGTTTGGGGTGGGTTTTTTTTCTTTCTAATCCAGCCCAATGGATAAACCAGCTACCAAGCCAGGGAGAGACGGTAGGCAGATAGGAAAAAAAAAAAGGGAGGGGGGAACTGCAGATTGGGTGGGTGGGGCAGACGATGGGCTTTGTAGTCCCATCCCAACTTTTGGAAGATGGGGAGGGGAGGGGGAAGGCAAGACCGTCGCTCCACCCAGGTGGAAAAGATGGAGGTTGGGCAGGGGATGTTGGGTCTGGCCTGGCCGGGTACCCACCCCCACCGGGGATGATGGGCTTTGTAGTCCATCCCATGCCT